AAGTTCGGACCAAAATTCATTTTATTCAGATAAATATAAAAAAAAACGTCAGTCTACATGATCATAGGTTTTTTCAAAGTCAATCAAAATAAAGGCAGCATTCTCTTTCGATTTACAAAAGAACTTAATCATCTCATTAATTACACGTATATTATCTTGAATGTGTCTGTCATTAATAAATCCGGTCTGTGAGGGATGAATGATATCTGCCATTACCAGAATCATACGATTAGTCAAGGATTTAGCCAATATTTTGTAAATCACAGTAAGTAAAGTTATGAGTCTATAGTTTCTTATATTTGTTTTATCCCCCTTTTTGTGTAAAAGAGTGAGAATCCCTTGGCTTGCTAGTTTCCCCATCTGTCCTATCTCATAAACTGCTTCGAGAAATTCCAACAAGTCCGATGAGAAAGTCGACCACATGGTTTTCCCAAATTATTTGGGAAACCCATCGATGCCATGGGCTTTATCCTTATCCATTTGTAATAACGTTGTCCATAATTCCTTCACAACCATTTGTAATAACGTTGTTCATAATTCCTCCAATGTCAAAGGTCTCTCCAAATTTTTCCTTTGCTTCCGAGTAAGCGTCTAGCTTAAGGGTGTGAAGAAAGTTTTTATGGTTGCATCATCTTCTTGCATATCATTCATCCTTTTAGATGAAGTGAATTGTTTTTTATAAAAATCGTAGACAATCTTTAGACTTGCTGTTGAGGATAATGTAATAGATGGTTATAACTTATATGGCTCAAGTAGGATCTTGCAACCCTTCAATAGTCGTTCGTCGCGATCTAGTACGAGCTAGTGCAAAGAATGAGGCATTCATTTGTCCATCGGTCAAATGTCGTGATAATTTACCTCCGATCAGATACTTTTGCCAACGATGTTGAGCAAAGGATAAAAAATGGTTCCTAAGCGTCTAAATATCAACCGGGTAAGGATGATTCTATGGTTGATCATTAAGTTCGTAATTAATGATTTATTCTTGGACGTTCATTTCTTGAAGAAATCGATTATTTACTTGTAATTTAGAAAAATTATTATATTTTTTTGTCATAAAAAGTCAACCCATTGTTGAACCAAGCCGTGCAGGAATCATGTTTATCCTTAGTCGTATGCCAATAATCCCAAACATTCTGAATGTATTGTTTGAATTGACTTTGAAGAAGCAAGGAGGTGTGAATTGACTTTGAAGAAACAAGGAGGTGTTAAGTTTATAGAAACTTTTCCCCTGGTCCGTTTTTTTCTTAAATGACAACAGGGCCACACACATCTTATGATCGGCTCCTGACCATAGATTTTGGGGAAAGATGGTTGTCCATAACAGAGCTATATCGAGACCATGTGACATCAAGATCAAATCTATTCGGGATCTAGATTGATGTCAGTTACCACTGTTTCGAATGCAGGTAAACAATTTTTCCTGCGGGAAGATTTGTCGGTATGTATCAAATAACTGTTCATCCTCGCATAGCCTATAAATAGTGTTCTCATCCTCTTCTATATATGTTGGACAAGGGGAGGAAACCTTCCATCTATCCAACCATCTGTCGGGGGCTGCATTGAAATTCCCTGCCATAATGAGCAGAATACCTTCCGGTATTTGAGCCCTGATATTCTGGAAGAAATTGATCATTTCTTGTACCTCATTAGGCCCGTATACATTAATGACACCTACTATTTCCAACTCCAGCCTAATCAAAGTAGAAATTCATCGACCCTGCTCCTTATCTGCTGTCCACTGAATAATTTCTACCCTTGATTCCGGTGGCACCCAAAAAATCACTCCCCCTGATCTACATCGTTGCGCCGGGGAGGATAATTTGAAAAAAGCCTGTGCTAGATTATGTGCTCTATTATGGATCGAAGAATTCATAAGATGGGTTTCTTGTATATAGATAAGGTCAGGCCATGTACGACCGCCCACTCCCTTGAGTTGCTTCATTATAGCTTTCCTTTTTACACAGTCTGCAGTCCATTTACATTTAGCGATCGCATATCTAAATCTGTTGCCCTAATGGTACGACTCCAAAAATGGTTCTTCCCATGATACGCTTGGAGTGCTTCCATCACTAAACTTTGAATATTATGAACTCTCTATGACCCATTATTTATTATAACCTCACCCTATTCCCCTTATCCAAGATTGAAGAGGACTTGAGAATCCCCCTGCGTAGAATTGAGCACAAAAAGAATGTCGCATCTGTGAGTTTGCCTTAAGCTTAAGATACCGCAGCTTCATCAAGGCACTGTGTGAGTACCATTTTAAGCTTGCCTCCTTCCGATCTTCAAATCTAACAAAGGTATCGCACTTAGCCATTTGTGCTCGATCACCTGCTTCAGTGAAAATTGTCTGAGGCCTAGGGTCGTAGTGTTTGGAGAGAAAGTCGTGAAGATCCCGCTTGAAAGTCCGGTAGTTAGCATTTTGATAATCCGCATATGTGGTTCATTCCCTCAAGGTCCCTCCTCCATACTGCTCTTGCCCAATCGGGTTCAGTCAAATTTCTCATTTCCTGCATTTTTTCCTTATTGGAATAACCAAATTCCCCTTTGATGGTTGCGAGTTGTTGGCGTGACCTTTTTCAAGGATACGTCTCAGTTTCTGTCTTTTACCTGCTTCCTGTGAAACCGGCGTAGGAAAAAAGACTAACCCTTCCTGTATGTGTTGTCCTTGGTGTGCTGACCCTCGTGCATAAATGACGACTTGTGTCAGTTGTTGCATCAACTATTGCAGTTGCAGAGACTGCTGCTGCTGCAGTTGCTGTTGAGAATGTAGAGTTTGATATGACTCTAACAATTGTTGCACCTCTTGTTGTTGCAGCAATGCCATAGGTTCTGGATCATGCGTCGACTGTTGCACTTGCAGAGGCTGTTGCATCTGGCGTTGCTGTTGCAGTTGCTGCCGAGACTGTAAAGTCTGATGTGACTCCAACACTTGTTGCTCCTCTTGCTGTTGCATCAATGACCTGAGCTCTGGATCTTGCAACAACCTCTGATCACCACTCTCGAGTTGCTGAGAATGTTGCAACATTTGCAACATTTGAGGCTGCCTCCCTTCCTCCCCTAGCATGATCACCCCCTCCTTCTCTTGTACAGCAGTTTGACTCCCATCAGTGGTTAATACTATTTTATTTATTTCATTAATTTATTTTTGTTCTTCTTCTTTCCCATTTTCATTCTCCTCCTCCACCACCACGTTCTGAGAGTCGAACTTCATACTTTCCTGTGTCCCTAGGGAGACAAACTCCGAACCGCCACTAGGTCCCTGCTGGTTCAACTGCTCGATTGTCTCGTCTTCTAACTGAGACGCCCTTGACTAATGCAGATTCATAACCCTCCACTACTTGTGGCTCACCTTGTGGAAGGGGGAGGGCTGAAACATGGACATCACCATTTGCCACATTCTCCTACTTACCATTGGCCAACATGCACCAAGTGGTAACCCTTGCTACAAAACCTTTTTAAGACTCGAACTGTTATTTAGCATGTTGACCAACCGTAATATGAAGTGTCCCAAAAATCGATAGTGGCTGCTCCATATTTTGTCTGCTATTGTTGGAGCAACCAATCAGACAACTGGGCGATCTTTTGTTCCATTGGGATTTGAGATTGCTCCTCTCCATCAGTAGGGGAGGCCCGGGAGGGTGCCTCAGCCATTAGAGTATCTGATGGGGCCTGTGATCTACATCCATTGGGGCTGGTCCAAATGCCTCCTTGAAAGGATCTTAGAGATCATGTGCTCCCAGATTCTCCTTGCGGGGGATTCCTTAGGTCCAATTCTCCCCCTTTGGAACTTTCTTTCACTGCTGCTTGTATTTTTACACGATGCATCTGATGGCATGATGATATCCCTCCCTTATTCGTAACCTTTTTTTTTTTCCCTTCTTGTTTTTTTTTCTAATAAGAGGTTGATCTTCTCCCATGTCCTGGTCTCGTTCATCGTTCGTTTCCTGGCTTTGTTCCATATGTAGGTCGTTCTGAGGGTGTGAACCCTCAGTATTTATCCTTCTTGGTGTGACTACATGGCCCCTCTTATATGTCTCACCCATAACATTGTTGCCTACAGTCCCTAGGGAGAAGGTGAAACACCTTCGTGCATATAGTGGCTGGGATCAGGACCATATGACACTGGACTTTTAGTAGGACCACAATCAAGACCAGCCCCAGGCGTAGAATCGGAACTAGAACTAAGATTATATCCAGGGACAAAACCAGAATCGTAACCAGAATCAGTGGCAGGCTTTGATTGGGGGACCTGTATAGCATTTCCTTGTGGAATATGGGGTGAGGGCGTTGGAGGAGACCAGCTATCCGGAGGCTTGGAATCCCAATCTGGCTCCCCCTCTCGTTCCCATGTCCAACCTTTGGGCCTTTGACTCTTACTAGACCCTTCAACGAACACCCATCCCTCATGCCAATGATCCACTGTTCGCCATAGGTTAGCTTTGTCGAATCAATTTGCCTGTCGCTCTTTGCTTGCGTGCCGGATTTTGTGCACATGAAGAGTCAGAAAACAGGTGTCCGTATGCTTTACAACGAAAACACCAAGGTCGTAACTTATGGGAAGTGTGAATATTAAATTATTTGCCCCCCACCCTGTAAGGAATAATATCATCGATATGAAAAGGAAGATTGGAGGAATAATTTAGTGCAAGCATCAGATAATCATCCCTTTGTGCGCGTACACTAGAAGTGGATCAATAAAGTTCACTATATCATAATTCTCCCCAAAGTCATGTACGAATGCAGCCGGAATCTCTATTGGAATGTGCCTGAACTCAACCCAATAGTGATCTTTCATTATCTGACGAAGTTTTTTATCTGGTCCTTGGTTTAGGGGAACCTACAAATAGATTCTGACTTCCGACCTATCACACCTCAACTTTCTTCAATCGTCAATTATTTTTTTATCGTTCACATGCACACACGGTATTGTAAGGACTGTTTAGGAAACAGGTTGAATAAGAAGATCTTCATTGACCGCCTCCTGATTGCCTTCCAGTTGTGTGAGTCTTTTACTTATCCATTTTATCTTTTCATTTGTAGTCTTATATGCCGCATTATCATAGAAGACCCAGTTGTTTGCATGTAATTGGTTGATATAATCTCTTTCTGCAATCTTCTGGGATTGATAAGTTTTCACCATTGATTTCTTCCCCCCATTGTCAACTACTTTGTTTTCAGAGGGGCTGATGAATTTTGATAAGAAGAAAGCATGAACAATTGGGAGATTAGAAAGGGGAATGCGGAGGGGTTGAGCATTTGACCCCTTTCTTTCAATTTCCAGCACAATGGATTGAAAGGGACCTTTAGCCTTCTGAATCCAAGAGGTTGCTGGGATTTGATCATTTTCCCAATACCCCTTGCATTCCTGAGCAAGGTTCTGCCCCCCGTTTCCTATTTCTCCACCTCCCACACTTTCGTTCCCCCTTCCTCTCGTCTCTTCCCCTCTGCCCCCTTCAACTCGCTCTCCTTCATTCCCTTCTCCTCTTCCCCCTCTTCGTCCCCATCCTCTTCGTTCGTATCCTCTTTCTCCTCCCCGCCCCCCCTCCCTCCCCCTCTGCCTCCCTCTCTTCCACCTTCTCTCTGCAGGGGGGGATACTCCTCATCCACCTCTTCCAATAACTCCCTTGCTGCGTTCTCCTTCCTCAGCTCTTGCTCTTGTCCCATCGTCTGTGATACATTTTCTGCTCCTCCACGCTCATTCAATGCCAATTGGACCATTGGTAATCTATTGGAAGAGATAAGATGTGAGTCATTTTGTTCAACATTCCTTTCTTTTGACTCCTTTAAGGCTACCTTGCAATTATCCCTTTTGGCGAACTATGTGGATAGAGGAGGATGGAATCTCGTCATGTCTTCTAAAAGAAACAGAGGATGCATCCTCACCATTTTTCCCTGTGACTGAGCAGCCATCCTCCCATGCCCTACATTGTTAGTAAAGATAAAACCCATAGGGCAAAGATGCAATCTATGATTATTATGTTCATCTACCTTCCTGCTGAGAAGCGGAGGATCATGATTAACTATAGATAGTGAGTGACACTGTTGCCGTTGCCTCTCTTCCTCCGTCAGAATTTCATCACAGATACTACCGAGTGCTCATGTTGCTGATGCTTTCTCCTATTCTGTAAAGTCATCTTGATCGGCATTTGTAATTGTCTGACAGATATCGGCCTCATTGCACCCCTGAACATCAGCATGGAGCCTACTTGCCGATGAGAACACTGATGACTATTTACTCGTATCATTTTCTTGATTGTTTTCTACCAGCGAAGCGAGCGGAAAACAACAACAACAACAACGAGATAAACGGTGGTGAGTAGAAATGTAGAAATTACTGGCAGAGACAGTTTCAATTGATTCCCCACCCCCCCCCCTTTAGTTAGTTCTGAAAAATCCTGCAATGATTAATTTATGGACTTGGCCGGGGAGAACTGGATAAGAAGGCATGAGGGGGGGTGTCACGCTAGGTATGTGAAGAGATGGCAGTGCATGGCACTTCACTTGTTATGATGTTGTTGTCCTCCACAACTTTCGTTGCTTCACCTTGATGCTTGGCTGGCGTCACAACGAGTCACTCCATGCTTTCTACCTCCTTCCTCCTTTTTGCTGTGCCCGCTTACCTTCAATTTTTCTTCCCTTCTCCAACTCCTTCCCGTCGATCACCCTTCTCTTCCCCGGTGCAATGCTATAACAAAAACTTGAGGTGATATACAATCAACAATGACCAGAACACCTGTAGTACCAACCAACCACAAGCAACTTGAGAGAGTCTACTTCATGGACTACGTATGGGGACGGATGACAACCATGTACCTACTGATGGACAAAGACTAGAGTACCTCCAGGTTATATATAATAAACAATGCCTACAATAGTCAATAGTATTGTGCTAGGTGGGTATACCCGGGCTGCTTAAGGGCACCTGCGTGAGGGCGACACGCGAGCGACGGGGAGGAGGGAAAGCTAAAACAAAAAACAGTTGTCTTGGTCATCTGATGAAAGGTGAGCGTAACTCCACACAAGGCATGGTCGAGCCCCACGAAGGGACTACGAGAAAGCAAGTAGGCAAACTGCCTTGCGCCTGCTAGGTCCTCAGACATAAGGATCCGATCGATTGTGGACCTGAACCGAATTTCAGCTCCTGTAGTGCGGAAACAGGAATACCTTCTTTCCGTAGGAAAGACTCTCCTGAAGGAGTCGAAAGGTGAAGCGTGGAATTCAATTCCTCAATAATCCTTTCATCGGTTTCTATGTACGAGGGGCAGGGGGTGAGGATCCTCCGTTGTCAGCGCGAATACCCTGACAAGGGTATCCGCCCTGGTTTTTGCAAATGACAGAAAGTAAGAGTGGATCAAGAAGACTATGCGGGGCACGGCCGCGTCTGCGACCTACATTGGCTAAGATAGAGGGTACATGGGCGCGCAGACTTGAGGCACGCAATTTTTATCTGTTGATGACTAAAGAACCGGCGTGATAGCTGACTAGATTTTTTTTTTTTTTTTTTAATTTAAAGTTAAGATTTTTGTCTTTGATTGGTACGTTTGATCGGGATGAGCGCACGCTCATGCGGTGGACGGCCTCGACCATGGTGAGATTTCTGCATGCCAATGGGGCCTGTGAGGTGCGGGACTGCACCGGGACAATGGATGTAGGCTGGTTGCAGGGGACCTTTTTTTTCACTTAGCCGTCAAGTCCTCATTGGAGTATTTGCAACTACTACCAAGATTTGCATTGGGGCCTGCTGCACCTGGGACTATGCTAGGAGCCTATAGCAGGACCGCGCCCCGACGTTGTGGCCGCTGCCTGCGTGTGAAATGCCCACTGAAGACCCAAAAGGCAGTGAGCTCCGCCTTAGTAGAGCGGGTTTGAAAGGGTGGCAGTCGGAGGCCGCAGCGGTACTGGCTGTGCGGCTCGAACTGCCCCGCGGCTGGTCCCAAGAAACCCTTTTTTTTTTTTTTTTTTTTTTTTTTTTTTTTT